GGCAATGGAGTAGGCCTAGCGTAAAATGGAGATCTTGGCCTTGATCGTGCCGACGGAAAAATATTTCCATGGAGAGGTCGGACGAAAGAAACAATCTATTTCAGCAAGTATTTAAAAAAAACATTTTTATTTTTTTTAAGCTTTCGCCAAAATGGCTAAAGTAGTTGTTTTTTGTTTCGACAATTCAAAATTGTTTTCGCCCATGGCGACCGGTTAGCGTGAACCCAGGAATGGAATGTTACATAGAAGTATTTCATTGTGAAGAAATATGTTTTTTTCAAAGGCGCATTATAATTACGTACATCATTTGTCTTTCTTTGGTTTGAGAAAGGCTAAATAACTTCTTGGCTGACGTCAGATATTGATGTATGTATATGTATGTATATATATGTATGTATGTATATATATATATATATATATATATATATAAATATATATATATGTGTATATATATGTATATATATGTATATATGTATGTGTATATGTATATATATATACGTGTATACGTATACGCGTATACGTATCGGCGTATACGTATATACATATATATATACATATATATACATATAAATACGTATATACGTATATTCTTATACATATATATATATATATATGTACAGTATGTGTATATATGTATATGTACATATTTATATATGTATATATCTATATATATATATATGTATACACATACATACACACACATATATACATGCATATATATATATATATACTGTATGTATATATACATATATATACATACATACATATATATATATACATATTTATACACATATATATACACATATATATACACATATACATATACAAATACATATATATACATATACATATATATATACATATATATATTCATATCCACATATATATATATACATATATATACATTTACACATATATATACACATATACATATATATATACATATATACATATATATACATATACATATATACACATGTTTATATACACATTTATATACATATATATACATATATACATATACATGCATACATACACACATACATAATATAAATACATGCATATATACCTACATATATATACATATATGTCCATATATACATACATACATTATATACATACATATATATACACATACATACATATTTACGCACATACATATATAAATACACACATATATACATACATACATATATAAATACATATACATATACAGTATATATATATATATATATACATATATATACATACATATACATACATATGCATACATACATATATACACACATATATATATACATATATAAATACATATATATACACACACACATATATACATACATATATACTGTATATACTGTGTGTATATATATATATATATATATATATATATATATATATATATACCCCTGTAAGTAGTATGAATACTTACCCAATATGTTTTAAAATATATACATTACTAGATGAAATAATATACTAGTACATTACTAGATTATATTATAGGCAATGTTTTAATAAGTTAATTTTAAATAAATGGAGGAGGTACATGGAACACGCTGTGAAAATCTAAACAAAATATCTCATTACTGGGCTATTCATTGACTGGTTATACCATCATTTGAATGGAATGTAATCCATTGAACACTCCGCCCCCATTAAATACGACTGTCGGCCTACATCTTATGTAATTAACATCTGACCTAACATATTACGTACCTAGGCCTATGTGGTTGTAGAGTGTAGAGTACGAAAAGCTAAAAAAGTTATAAATGTAAAGGAAAATCATCCTAGATCAATGCTGAAAAGCTACCGTCTCAATAGAACAAAAATTCCATGTGAGACCTTGCTATCATGTATCTAACGGCAACGTCCTCGTCATCAACCACAGCACAGTGCGGCAACACGAAATGTGCTGTACGTACACTCATCGCTACTGACTGATTTGAATGTGTGGTTTAATACACATAAAAGCAACTTGTAGCCTACATTTATTTCCTGTAGTATCTGATCTAAATTAGGGCCTATGCCTACACACACGTACGTACCCAGCCAGCCTATTCGTCAGGCCAGCCTGCATTACAGTACATTGACACGAAATGTGCTGCACACATACACTCATCGCTAACTAATTTGAATATTATAGGGTTTAATACACATAAAAGCAACTTGTAGCCTACATTTCCTGTTATCTGATCTATTACACACACGTACTACCCAGCCAACCTATAGGCCTAGTTCGTCTTCCTCTAGCTCTAGGCCAGCCTGCATTATAGTAGTGTACATTGTTTATCTCTCAGGGGAGAGACCACCCACCCTTGCAAGCACCACAAAACGGCTCATTCTTCGCTGCCAACTAGACTTGTGCAGACGCATTGATTAGCCACAAAGCTTACCATTCCAGGCCGTGATTGGTTGATAAACACAATGTGGAATCAGGAGATTTGTAAGCTGATCAATGACGAACACGCTTTCATAGGAAACCAACCGTAGTGTTAAGAAATATGATTAAAAAAACATACTTTTCACATATTTCCCGACAATATTTTCGCAAAAACTTTTCATACTTTAAATTCCCCACGCCTTATCTTCCATATTATTGCAAGATCGGCCTCATAGCGTCACAAACGAAGGAGGAGATAGAAAAACAAATGACTTCAAAATTCGCTCAGAATCATCATATTATAAGCCCTCTCTCTCAGAGAGTGGGCTAAAAATTATCCCTTAATGACCTTTGACCCCAAATGACCTTTGACCTCTTATCCCTGAACACCCTATAGACTCTGCCTTATGCCAATGTATATGTGCAAAGGACAAGACTGTGCTACGTTATTTGTGAGACAAGTAGTCTTTTATACGATTTTTGATTTTTTTTTACCCTAATGCCCCTTATGTGACCTTTGATACCAAGTTGTGAACAACACATAAATGGGAGGTGGCACCGGTCCTACTGACAAAGTTTTAATAAAATCGGTCCAGTAGTTTGCCACTAGTAGCCTCTTAAAATGTTGCCAGAAAGAAAGAAAGAACTAGAGATACTATGTTTAATAGAATATGAACCCAGTCATTTTTTAAGAAAAAACCACTGTGACTTTTAACCTCAACCTGTGAACACACCATGTTTGGTAGGAGTCTGTCTAATGCAATTGGTCCAATCGTTAGTCACTAGCAATATTTGATAATTTTCACTATAGTGACCCTTGTGATTTTTTACCTATAGGTGAAGAGTAGTTTTTCATGTTTAGAAGGTCCTAAGGATCATTTTGAAAATTTGACCCTGATGACCCCTATGTAACCACTGATGCCAGACAGGGGTGTAGGAGGTGTCACTGGTTCTTAATGATCAAATTTGATTGAATTCGGTTCAATCGTTTGCCATTAGTAACATTTTGAACCTTTGACCTATGAACTTTGAAATATGGGGTGAAGAGTATTTTTTCATGTTTAGAAGGTCCTAAGAGTCATTCCTGGTAAATTTGAGCTCAATTGGTCTATTTTGAAAATTTAACCCCGATGACCCCTATCCCAGATTAGGGTGTAGGAGGTGTCACTAGAGAGAACAAAAGAATAACCCTTTAATGACCTTTGACCATAAATCACTGAACACAATAAAGACCCTACTTTATGCCAATACATGTACCTAGGACAAGACTGTGCTATGTTATTTGTGAAAGAAGTCTTTTATTCATTTTTTAATTTTTTTTTTACCCTAATGACCCCTATGTGACAATAAACCCCAAGCAGTGAACACCCTATGTACGAAAGGTGTCACCGATTATACTGACCAGGTTTGGTTGAAATCGGCACAACCGTTTGGCACTAGTAGCGTTTTAAAATGTTGCCAGAAAAGAGATAAAAATTACTTCTTAATGACCTTTGACCCCTTATCCCTGAACACCCTATAGACCAGTCATTTTTTGAAATGGGACTTGTGAAATATAGCTGGAATATGACGTTTTAGGATCATCATTACCTAATAAAAAGATGTGCCAAATTTGGAATCTGAAAAATGTTGGCTTCATTAGGCAATTTGAGGATTTGTATGTCCTTACTGCAAACCTGCCAGAAATTAATGAGGTAAACAAATCTGCGTTGTGACGTCATTTGTGCCTGAATTCAGGTTGCGTAATCTGATCTACATCAGTCCACGCTGGGAAACATATGCGCAAGCAGATTAGTAGTAGTTGTGTACGGGGTGTTTTTGGTATGATCTGTCCAAGTACAGCTACAGTATGTGGATGAATTGTTATGGTGACAAATAATTTAGCATCAATAATATTGTACTAAATACAATAATGACAGTACTACACAAGATGTAGAAGCAAATAAATTCACATCACGATCCAAAAATAGGCCTAGACTAGACTGTGCTAGAGAGTGAGGAAGAGAGGACATACCTACCTTACCCAAAGAGGAGAAAGGCCTAAGCCTAGCCTACTTAGAAATGCAATTTTATTCATAGCTTGCACTTTTCTTTTGTCATTCGTTTTCAATAAAATATATATTAAAATAAACATTCTTGTTTTTCCTCTTTCTACGTATTTTGTTCTGATGTTCCGATGGAAGAAATTCCACAGGTCTGACGCTTGCATTACTTGTGTTGTGTGTGTAGAAAGTTACTCTCAATTGAGGGCAGTATTGATGGGAGGCAATGGGCGTTTTATGATAATTATACTTATTAATTTAATTATAAACTTGTTTTAGTAAGTAATTACAGTATATTGCAATTTAAAAAAATGAATTTATATGGTTTTTGTACATAGCATTATTGTTTTTCAGTATTTTTCAATTTATATAAAGCATATATATACAATATAGTAAAAATTGTTTAGACGTATATGCTTTTGTGAGTAATGCAACAAGAGTGTCCATGCTTTACAGAAATTGCCATTATTGACCAATATTTGGATGAAAGGGGAAAACACCACTTAACTATTTCTCCAAGCTTTAATAATTTCATGTAAATTTCTTTCGCAATTATCTGAAAAAATATTTTTTTCTCATTCATTCATTTATTTATTCAGCCAAAAGTTTACAGTTAACAAACAGGGAAACATTAACAAACATTGGCCAGGATAGCCCAAGAAAACCAATAGCAGGTTTATTTCCATTGGGGTCCTGCATTAACATTACTGTATTAGATTGTACCGTCATGTTGCATACAGGCGATTCATATGTTGGATTTGGCACAAGCTTGGCCGAAACAACTGAAGAGTAATACCAGCATGTGCAGTTCTTACAATATGGAAGCCATTTCCTTCCGATACTTGCACATGAATTCCTAATTTTAACATTACTGCATAACCTACATTAAACTTCTGTTTAATTTGAATCTTGACTTTCTTTCCCTAACCAGTGTACCCTTATCAGTCCAAATAAAGTAATTTGTTATTTGTTCAGGAATGACGTCATGATTTTCTTTTGCATGGTCAAGTGCATCCTTAAGCGTTTTGATCTCATACCGACTCTCAAAGGAAGAGCATCAAATAATTCCTCAACATAACCTACAAAACACAAAAGAAGTACACATCATTATTGAAAAAAATATATGTGGATCCCGTATCAATTATTTGAATTGTTTCCTTTATGATCAAATAAATATTTAGTTTTAATACAGTATTTACAGTTCACATGAGAATGCTGAGTATTCATTAATTTTTTAAAGTTAAGTAGTAGTTGGATAACCCCTAAGAAGAGGAACCAAATCAACACACACACACACACACAATTTAAATTGCTGGCTATATCATCTTCCTCAAAATAAAGACTACATTTCTGCATCCCAAAATAAACATCTATTCTAATGGTCTTATTGGTTCTTTGTTATGGTAAGCAACAAAATATACCTAATGTGGATTATTCATTTACAGCTTTTAATACAGATTGTTGTTTTTTCTACAATGTTAGGAAACAAACTGCCAATTTTGCTTCTCCTTCTCTGGTTAATATGCCTGGTGTTGTTCATTTGGTTGACCATTATCTTCTATAACAATGTTAATAACAACTCCCCTAACACCTTTCTCTTCATTTGCATCTGCATTTGGTAAGGTCTTCTAGTACAGTACCTAGCAAGTAGAAAAAATAATAAAAATCTAAATGCCAGACCAGCACAAACTATAGTTTAAATTAGGCTAGCCTAAGACAGACTTTATCAACAAGTTAGTAAAAAGCATTTCTGTAAAACCCAGTCTTCAAATATCCGTAGTAAGTTAAATGCAAAATTTCCGAAGCACCTGATAATTTGTCTTGAGTGCAAGCAATTATGGGTACAGGAAAATAATAATTGTGGATTCTAAATAACAGGCCATTTTTTTCTTAGTTTCTGCAATAATTTTTTTCAGTCTGACAAAATGAGTTGTCTAGAGACAATGTAACCAAAGTTTTTTATGGAAAATTAAATTGTTCTGGAATTTAGACCTATTATATATGTGTATTATACACATAAATAATAGATAGGCCTATGATACATTTCTTCAGTAGGCCCTAGTACTAGTAGTATTTTTCTATTTCCATGCATCCGTAATAATTACAAAAAAATTTCTATATCACTAATGAAATTCAGTATTATTTAAGAAGTCTGCTAAGTACAGCTATCTCGATAATGATTATAAAGAATGTTAGGGTTGGCAACAGGACTAGTTATATAGTTAGCTTTGCAACATCCCTAGCCTATCTGGCCCACAGCAGCAGCAGTAGAACACTACCATGCCTATGGCATTATCTATATTAAATTGTACTGCCTCTTCTTAAAATGAACAAGGTCTAGCCTAGGTCAAGCCCTAACTAAATAGGCTAGGCTAGTACATTGCAGCATGGAGGAAATATACTTTATATATTTCCTCCACGATTGATGAATTGATAGGCCTAAAAATCGAAGGCATACACTATTATTATCATAATTATGTAGCCTAGGCCTAGCTAGTACAGCACTAGCCTAGGCTAGGCCAGTTCTCAACTTACCTCCTTTTTCCTTCCTTTTGATAAGCCCCACGCACGATCTTGGGTGGAAGTGTTGGTTGTTGAATTAAAATACTATAGGCACTGCATTCGTTTTTAGCTTCCTTAAATATTTTTCCTTGCATTCTAAAAGACGATAAATAATCTAAGTCTCTTGGCGCCTGGCAGTCGACATTGTGAAATACTCGATCACGACATCGTGAATGAATGAAGTGCTGTGTTGAGTGGGCTCCCAAGCCGCATAGGCTAAGCCTACGATTTCTTCACCAATTTTTACTTCGGAAAACTTAGGAAACTTAAATGTTGTGGTCTTTAGATTATGCTTACATCCAAAGGCAATGTAATATGACAGATCTGTAGGAGTTTCAGCAATACTCTTTGTTTTGGTAATCGTCTTTTCTCACAGAGAGACGAACAACAACTTCAGCCGTGTTTTGTGTGTACCGCGTCCAGTGTCAATGTGATTGAATTTGTTTACGTTTTAGTTCGGCACAAGTGACGTCACACCTAATTAGCATATTGTTTACTATGAATATCTGAACCAACAGAGCGATGCTATAATAGTCTCTTTTAATTGCCCTAAAATAGCATAAAAAGCGCGATGTTTTTAAAATAAAGAGATTCAACGTATTACTAACAATTTAATTTATCTATATATATTGTTCTGGCTATATTTCACAAGTCCTTTAAGAGATAACCACTGTGATCTTTAATCTCAACCTGTGAACATGTTTTGGTAGAAATCTGTCTACTGCAATTGGTCCAATCATTACTCACTAGAAATCATAATGAAAACTTTTACTCTATTTGTAACAAAAGCTCATTCAGGTAAATTTGACCTACATCTTATGCACGAACGCACTAACCGCAGAAAACTCGAAATTCGTAGCTGCTATTGGCCTTAAGCGCGTGACGTCATTCATAGACAGGGTAAAAACAGTTTGGAATACAAAATTATAACGAAAAAATGATAATTGGTTATTTAAGCAACCAGCATGGGACTTACATGGTAAAAGAAAGCTTAATTTATGAGTTACAATTGACCGTTCACCCCGAAGTTTAGCGACCTGTCGTTGCAGAGTTAAGGTAAAAAGAAGCAGGAAGTATACCAAAAAATACTCTAATTTTAACCTTTTCCCTATGCAAAAGCATAAGAGATAGTCAATTTTGAAAGAAAAGAGTCCGGTTTTGACTCATTTACTGTGTTAAAATGTGCAGTGAACCATTCAGTGAGCAGAAGTCCTCAAGTTTTCATTATGATTTGATAATTTTCACTATAATGACCCTTGTGACTTTTGACCTATAGTTGAAGAGTCGTTTTTCATGTTTAGAAGGTCCTAAAGATCATTCCTTGTAAATTTGAGCTCAATTGGGCTATATTGAAAATTTAACCCCAATGACCTCTATGTGACACCTGATCCCAGACTGGGGTTAGGAGGTGTCGCCGGTTCTTTATGACAAAATTTGATTGAATTTATTCCAATGGTTTGCCATTAGTAGCATTTTGAAATGTTACTAGAGAGAACAAAAAAATAACCCTTTAATGACCTTTGACCGTAAATCGCTGAACACCATAACGACCCTACCTTATGCCAATACATATGTGCCCAGGACAAGACTGTGTTATGTTATTTGTGACAGAAGAAGTCTTTTATTTATTTTTTTAAAAGTGTTTTACCCTAATGACCTCTATGTGACCTTTGACTCCAAGCAGTGAACACCCCATATATGGGAGGTGTCACCGATTATACTGACTAGGTTTGGTTGAAATCGGCACAACCGTTTGGCACTAGTAGCGTTTTGAAATGTTGCCAGAAAAAAGATAAAAATTACCCCTTAATGACATTTAATCCCTTATCCCTGAACACACTATAAACCCTGCCTTATGCCAATGTATATGTGCAAAGGACAAGACTGTGCTACGTTATTTGTGAGACAAGTAGTCTTTTATAGGATTTTTGGTTTTTTGACCCCAATGCCCCTTATGTGACCTTTGACCTCAAGTTATGAACAACACATAAGTGGGAAATGGCACCGGTCCTACTGACCAAGTTTTAATAAAATCGGACAAGTAGTTTGCCACTAGTAGCCTTTTAAAATGTTGCCAGAAAGAAAGACAGAAAGAAAGAAAGAAGAAACTGCTAAGAAACAGAACCCAGTCAGCTGCTGCTAACTGGGTAACTAGAGATACTATGTTCAATAGTTCAAACATGAACCCAGTCATTTTTTAAGAGATAACGATTGTGACTTTTAACCTCAACCTGTGAACACCCCATGTTTGGTAGGAGTCTGTCTAGTGCAATTGGTCCAGCCGTTAGTCACTAGATATATTTGATAATTTTCACTATAATAGTGACCCTTATGATTTTTCACCTATAGGTGAAGAGTAGTTTGTTATGTTTTGAAGGTCCTAAGGATCATTCCTGGTAAATTCGAGCTCAATTGGGCTATTTTTGAAAATTTGACAAAATTTGACAAAATTTGAAACAGAATGACAGTTATTTTCAAATTAAGAGAAGAGCTGAGAATAGGCAGCTCTAAAATACTGGATGCCATAAGACCTGCCAAAATGGCAAAACATCAAATGAATGTAAAAATGAGCTAGTTATTAATGTAAAAATGAGCTAGTTATTAATATTAGGCATAGTAATCGGCAGGTTCTTGATTACAAGGCTAGACCAAGTTAATTACATGTAATGCCGAAATGATGATAATAATAATAATAATAATAATAATAATAATAATAATAATATTATTATTATTTTTACTTGTACGTTAAGGGGAACTTAGACAAAGGGGAAATAACACAAAAAATATTCCC